CTGCGGTTAACCGCAGACTAATTGCTCATTCAGGGCTGTCTACGTTCGGTCCACGAAGGGCAGAGACAACCATCCCTGGAGCGGTATTCGTATCACAAACTACCCGTCTCTCGATCCAGGGGTTTTGAGGCCAGGTGCCGCTCGCCTACTCTCCGACAGAAAACATGGCCGCCATCTCGTGTTCGGGACAAAGAAACACGAAAGGACTTTGTATGTTAAGGACTGGCTCTACCGTTCGTGAGGTCTGAGCGCTATTCACACATCTGATGCGCTCAGACCTGAGCTATCTAACGAATGGTAGAATATAGGAGATGCGTTATACAATGTTATAAATATGTATTTTATGCTGTTTTGTATGTTCAAGTTACACGTGGGATTCTGGGCACTGGGAGATAATTGAATCACACCAACCGTTGAAACTTGTATCTCCAAGAGGGGCTGGGACTATTTCAAATGATACAGTGTACTGGTATTGGTCAATTGTTTGTATTGTCCCTGTATCCCATCAGGTCCAGTGGGGGATGTCCCTGGACCTGAGGTTTTTGCATAAATACCGATGCCCAGGTGCCATTAAAACCAGTTCTTGCTTGACCTTCAAATCGCAGCCTCGACTCGTTTTGTGGGGGGAAAGGGTATCCTAGCTATACCAGAGCTAGTGGGATTGCTCTACACTTACAGGATTCGTATGGACTAACTACCGAAGCGGCGCTTCTCTTTCTCTACACTGTGGATCCAGGCTATCCAAGCGGTCCAGCTTCCAGCTAGCCTGGGGGTAACCGTAACAAGGTGTCATTAGGAGGCAATATAAACACTGCCTTTGCTCTGAAAAGTCAGTGTTTACATTGAAAAGCCTGCAGGGACAGGCTATAGACACCAGAAGCACTACATCTGTGTGTATGCGTTTGCTAGTGAGTTAGCTTGCTTGTGTGAGTGTGTGTGCCTGCTAGTGAGTGAGCTTGTGTTTTTATGTCAATGAGCTTATGTATATCAGTGAGATTGTTTGTCTACGAGGCTGTGTATCAATGAGCTTGTGTGTGTCAGTGAAATTGTCTGTCTGCATGTGAGTATGTTTACTGTATAATTAAATGTTTTACTCTGAAAGGACCAATATTTTATATTAGAAAAAGCAATATATATTTGAGAGATGTATATATATCATCTGGGGTGGCAAGACATAGCCTTACATATTACATGCAACAATATATGGCGCAATGACTTATGGGGCTGGCATAGATTTTTTTTTCCAGGGCTGCTTTGTATCCCCAGTCCGGCCCTGTGCTTGCTGCACGAGGTTGTTCTTCTCGTCCGGCTCCCTTCAGGAGTCCACCAATTACATCTGCTGTTAAACATCCATTATCCTGTAATATCCTTTATTGTTTTATTATGTGTTATTTATTACGTGTTAAGTTGTTGATGGAGAGAGTAACTTGCACTCACTTTCAGCTCTGAGAATAGCTTTTGCAAAAATTATATATATCACTGTGGCTACAAGACAAACTACAACCAGTGGCGGAACCAGCTTTTAAGGCAGTTCCGCTTATCCTATGTGATGAGAGCAACTGCTTCACTGCAGCACTCACACCGTGGGGCCTCCCAAAACTAGGGCCAGTGACTGGAGACCTGCTGATATCACCAAATTGGCAGGCCTCATTAGGTGGTTTAAGGGCCACCATCAGGGGGTGACCACCATGACAGTTGTTACGGTTGCACTGGGGCCCGCACGTTGATGGGGCCCATCGGGTGGCACACGCACTTAGGGCCACCCGATGGGCCCTATATCTTCAGGGGCCCGGTCAGCGCTGCGGCCGTGTAATATCGTGACCGGGCCACTTTAAAAAAAAAGAAAATGCAGACACAGCGCAAGTGCTGCTGGGAGGAAGTGGTCACTCCCTCCCAGCTCACTCCGCGCGGTAGGACCGCCAGCGTGGACTTAACGAGGGAGAGCCAGCCGACTCCTATAAGCACCAGCCACCCTCCTGCAAAGAAAAGGTAAGAGACAGGAGGGTGGCTGAAAAATGAGCTTTGTGTGTGTGTGTGTGTGTGTGTGTGTGTGTCTGTATGTTATTATGTATGAATGTATGTATGTATGTATGTCTGTATGTATGTATCAATGTATGTTTGTATGTATGTATGTATGTATCAATGTATGTCTGTATGTATGTATAAATGTATGTATGTATGTCTGTATGTATGTATCAATGTATGTCTGTATGTATGTATGTGACGAATTGCACTTCACCATTTGGTCCTGGAGAGGCCTGCTTGCCAGCCTCCTGCCCTGGGACTATGGCCCCTGGGAGATTGTACGTGTTTAAACCAGCATTTGGGCATATTGTATTTTATTATGCTGCTGCTGGCCCTTTAAGAACCATCTGGGGACATACTGTGGAGTTACTGGGTGGCCACCATTTCATGTATCAGAGGCACATGGTGAGAACAATGGATGAAGCACATGGTGAGAACAATGGATGGCGGCCATTTTAACTCACAGACACTGTTTGGACATTTCTACACAGTGCCATCTCGCCGGTATTTGGTGCACAAAGAAATTGTGCAGTAGTTTTAAACTATACAACAGGGGACACATTTAACAGTAATTATTTTTCATATAGCCTGTATATGTTCTGCGGAATCTGCATTAAACCGTATCTTCCAAACTACTGAACGTATCTGGGTGAATTTTGGATATATGGTTCACCCAGATCCCCCGGTTCCGAGGATATATTTTTTTATGGGGTTATTGCATGTTTTGGGGTCCCTGTGATATGTTTTGTAATACTGTATTTCTCTGTCTGTGATAATTATATTAACCATTATGTTCAGTAATCATATCACAGGCAGAGGGGAGGATTTTGTGTGGGAGTGTGTGTGTGCATTGTACGGATTGATTGGTTGTATTTCAAAACCCTGTGGGCAGTACTATGTTTGTAAAATGTGAATAAAAGAGGCTGTATGTGCCAGTACAGTCATTTCTTCTTCACCGTCAATCTAGAGTCCTGTCTCTTATTGGGGGTATTGCTATATCACTGCAAGGGATTGCTATGCTCTGCATGCTCCCTTGGATAATCACTTCTAAGCTCTTGTAAGAGCTTGTTTCTGTCTTGCTCTCGGAAGGAGTCTACGGTGGTTGTGGTATCGGCTGGAGTGCTTGGAGCCCTCAGGAAGCGCTAGGAGCATCCAATAACGGAAGTACCCAGTCAGGGTGCCGTCGATCCTTTACAATGTATCAATGTATGTCTGTATGTACGTATCAATGTATGTCTGTATGAATGTATGTCTGTCTGTATGGCTGTCTGTATGTATGTCTGTATGTATGTCTGTATGTATGTCTGTATGTATGTCTGTATGTATGTCTGTATGTATGTCTGTATGTATGTCTGTATGTATGTCTGTCTGTCTGTCTGTATGTATGTCTGTCTGTCTGTATGCCAGTATCAATGTATGTATGTGTATGTATGTATGTATGCCAGTATCAATGTATGTCTGTCTGTATGTATGTCTGTCTGTACGTCTGTTTGCCAGTATCAATATATGTCTGTGTATGTATGTCTGTATGTATGTATGTATGCCAGTATCAATGTATGTCTGTGTATGTATGTATGTCTGTCTGTCTGTATGTCTGTATGTATGTCTGTATGTCAGTATGAATGTATGTCTGCATGTCATTCTGAATGTATGTCTGCATGTCATTATGAATGTATGTGTGTATGGATGTCAGTATGTCTGTATATATGCATGTATGCCATTATGAATGTATGTCTGTGTATGTATGGATATCAGTGTCTGTATGAATGTATGTATGTCTCTCAGTATGTCTGTCTGTATGTATGTATGTATGCCAGTATCAATGTATGTCTGTGTATGTATGTCTGTCTGTCTGTATATATGTATGTCTGTATGTCAGTATGAATGTATACAGTAAAATAAGTGTATATATGGTGAAAAAAACAATATAAGACAAAGTGCTACAATCACCAGCAATGTGGGTCACTCCACCTCACATAAATAAATGGTTAAAACAGTAAAAAATGGTGAGAGCACAGAGAAACAATAATTACCCTTATATTCAATATAAAACCTGTAAAAACACAATGGGAAAAACAGGCATAGGGTAATAACGTACAAATAATATATGAATGAGTAAATACTTGAATAAACTCACATATTCATGAGCCACTTAATATGGAAGCTGGCTCAGACTAGGAACATTGAATGGATTAGTGAGGTGGTCGTTGTAATCCAACTGCTTAATTGCTTGCTCCTTCTTGCTTTACAAAATCCAGGATGCAGGATCTTTAATGAAAACCTTTATTCGGTATAGCAGCAAAAAAAGACAGCAGCAGTAAAAATTAAAATTCAGCAATTCCACCTCTGCACACTAACGCGTTTCAGCCAAAGCCTTTATCAAAGTGTGAGTCCATTCAGTCAGTTCCATTTTTAAATAGGCAAATTTTCGCGCCTTTTTTCGGAAATAAGCTCCTCCCCTTTTTTTTTTTGTTGTTGTTGTTGTTGCAACTTTATTGGGCATCCTAGCATCCTTAACGATCTCAATTTACTTCCATGTTCATTGAAGAAAAGGAACAGCGAACTAGTCCATTCACTTAAACAGTCTTTCATGTTGCAATAATCAGAGTCCTATTGGCAACATACTTCATACATATTGTCAATAACATTAAAACAAATATTATAGTCAGATATTCTTATTGCAATACGTAGAATATTAGCAACAGTTAAACTCTCTCTTTCTCAAAAAAAGGATTAAAAAAAGGTAAAAGAGAGGCAAAAGAAGAGGGAATAAATTTAAAAGGGAAATAAAAGATCAAAATAGAAAAATCTTCTTATTCACATTTAAAGGTATATCGGGAGAATGCATCATACTTAAAATACACTTATTATAATCAATATTTATAAAATATTAATCAGTATTACTAAAATTAGAATTAAAAAATATCTTATTAATATAAAACAACCTAAAATAATCTCCAATAGATTTAATAAATAATTATAGTTAAATATAAGTGTTAATTTCAAAATCTACGTTTAATCCCCCCGGTGTAAGTGTATCCAAATTAAAAATCCATTTCATCTCATTTTTGCTTAAAAGATTATCCTTATCACCCCCTCTCCAGTGTATTTTAATATGATCTATTGCAAAAAAATCCAGGCCTGCTGGGTCTCCATCATGATATTCCAAAAAATGTTTAGATAAACAATGTATGCATGTCATTATGAATGTATGTCTGCATGTCATTATGAATGTATGCCTGCATGTCATTATGAACGTATGTGTGTATGGATGTCAGTATGTCTGTATATATGCATGTATGCCATTATGAATGTATGTCTGTGTATGTATGGATGTCAGTGTCTGTATGCATGGATGTCTGTCTGTATGAATGTATGTATGTCTCTCAGTATGTCTGTCTGTATGTATGTATGTATGCCAGTATGAATGTATGTATGTCTGTATGTCAATGTGAATGTATGTCTGTGTGTTTGTATGTCAGTGTATGTATGTGTCTATATGTCCTCATGCATGTGTGTCTGTATGTTAGTATGTGTCTGTCTGTCACTATGTATGCCTGTGTGTCTGTATATGTGTGCATGTCTCAGTATGTGTGTGTCAGTATGTATTCCTATATGTGTGTATGTCTGTTTCAGTATGTGTGTCTTTTAGTATGTATCTGTGTGTGTGTTTGTGTCTGTGTGTATGTGTGTATTCCTGTGGGTGGGATTTGGAGGTGGGCCCCAGACCCTGAGCTGAGTAAGGGGCCCCAAAACTTATGGTGGCGGCCCGGAACCGTGGTTATCTGAAATGTTGGGTTGCTAATCAATCACAAGTAAGATATGGGACTAGTATTGTACGGAGACTGTAATTATCTGGTGACTGTTTTCTGCTTTTCCTGTAATACGTCAAAAAAATACATTTTCCCATCACTTTTTATTCCTCTTGGGGGGTTTTTTGCCGCACATTTACCAATAATGGTCTTATATTTAATATTTTTTATATGCTTTTCAAATTATTTCATATTTATGGATACCTTTTTAAAATGATTATTTCAAAACATTAAAATATCAAGAGTATACCATATATCAATGTATGATATATAAGACAATATATGAAAATATCTAAATATTTTTCAATAATACCATAGATTACATGCACACAATAAGATAAATGATTAATATTAATAAAAGATTAAAAAAAAGATGCATTCACCATGTGAAGGATTTTTTTATTCCTTAAAGAAAGCAGAAGATTGCAAACACTGCTTACCTGTCACAGAAAATTTGCCACTCCAGCAGTCGTTGAAAACATTGTCACATTTGCACCAATTTTCTTTAGACATTGGAAGTGAGAAATACCCCAAAAAATTGGAAGAAAAAAAAAAAGAAGAGAAAAATAAAATGATAGATATCAAGCTAAAGCGAACTCTGTTCTTTAAAAAAATAAAAAATAAATAAATAGGTGATAGCAAGAAAACAGCGAAATACCCAAAATTCAGGTGTTTCAAGGATTACAAATAATGCTGAATAGGCCATTATTTGTAAAAAAAATATATATACCGGTATATATATACAAAAAAAGAAAGAAAGAAACCAAAAAGGTAACCCTTTAATACTAAAAGCCTGGTGGAGAACTGGTTAATTGTACATGCTGATAGAATAAACAACTATTAAGGAACCAAGTTTCGGACTCTAAACATTGCAGGTGTTTACATTCAGAATAGGCAAAAGTATTGTAAGAACTGAAACGTGGGTGGTCATTTAATTATTGACACAATCTTCAGATAATTACTATAGAAGCACAATTGAAATCACAGCGGTGGGAATTTTATGGCTCCTAAAATGAGCATGTGAAATGACGCACTGTAACCAGCAAGACCTTACTGTTCCCGACCAAACAAAATACCTCCCCTCCCCAACAGAATCAGAAACCTTTACAGGAAGAGTACTGGAAAGGTTATATCATTAACCTTCTACTGGCAGAAGGCAGGAGGTTTAATCGATATTGACCAACAATCTCCAAAAGGCAACAAATGCAAGGAACATTAATCTTCTACCTGCTGTTATTGTTAGTCAATGGACTGGAGTAATGTAAAAAGAAGTGGAAAAACCCTGACAGCCCTGACAAAACTGACCAGAAAATAGAAACATAGAATGTGACGGCAGATAAGAACTATTCGGCCCATCTAGTCTGCCCGATTTTCTAAATACTTTCATTAGTCCCTGGCCTTATCTTATAGCTAGGATGGCCTTATGCCTATCCTACGCATGCTTAAACTCCCTCTCTGTGTTAACCTCTACCACTTCAGCAGGCAGGCTATTCCATGCATCCACTACCCTCTCAGTAAAGTAATACTTCCTGATATTATTTTTAAACCTTTGCCCCTCTAATTTGAAACTATGTCCTCTTGTTGTGGTAGTTTTTCTTCTCCTTCACTGTGTTGATTCCCTTTATGTATTTAAATGTTTCTATCATATCCCTCCGTCTCGTCTTTCCTCCAAGCTATACATGTTAAGGTCCCACTCCTCTTTGCAGATCCTCTCCAAGTCATTAAGGTTTTGATGCTGAAGTTTGGCAACTCGAACCTTCAGCTCCCTTCACAGATTTTCTATGGGATTAAGGTCTGGAGACTGGCTAGGCCACTCCAGGACCTCATTGTGCTTCTGCTTGAGCTGCTCCTTTGTTGTCTTGGCTGTGTGTTTTGGGTAATTTTCATGCTGGAATACCAAAACACGACCAATTTTCAGTGCCCTGGCTGAGGGAAGGAGGTTCTCACCCAAGATTTGATGGTACATGTCCCCGTCCATCATCCCTTTGATGCGGTGTAGTTGTCCTGTTCCCTTAGCAGAAAAACACCCCCAAAGCACAATGTTTCCACCTCCATATTTGACGATGGGGATGGAGTTCTTGGTGTTATAGGCAGCATTCCTCCTCCTCCAAACACAGCGACTTGGGTTGATGCCAAGGAGCTTGATTTTGGTCTTATCAGACTACAAACTTTCATCCAGTTCTCCTCTAAATCATTCAGATGTTCATTGGCAAACTTCAGACGGGCCTGTACATGTGCTTTCTTGAGCAGAGGGACCTTGCGAGCGCTGCAGGATTTCAGTCCTTCACAGCATAGTGTATTACCAATTGTTTTCTTGGTGAATATGGTCTCAGCTGCCTTGAGACCATTAAAAAGATCCTCCCGTGTAGTTCTGGGCTGATTCCCCACCGTTCTCATGATCATTGAAACTCCACGAGGTGAGATCTTGCATGGAGCCACAGACCGAGGGAGACTGACAGTTATTTTGTGTTTCTTCCATTTGCGAATAATCGCACCAACATTTGTCACCTTCTTACCAAGCTGCTTGACGGTGGTCTTGTAGCCCATTCCAGCTTTGTGTAGGTCTAAAATCTTGTCCCTGACAGCTCTTTGGTCTTGGCCATGGTGGAGAGTTTGGAATCTGATTGATTGCTTCTGTGGGCAGGTGTCATTTATACCGGTAACGAGCTGAGATTAAGAGCACTCCCTTTAAGAATGTGCTCCTAATCTAAGATCGTTAGCTGTATTAAAGGTACCTGGGATCCAGAAATCTTGCTGATTGATAGGGGATTAAATACTTTTTTCACACATTGACATGCAAATCAATTTATAACTTTTTTTGACAAGCGTTTTGTCTGGATTTTTTTTGTTATTCTGTCTCTGACTGTTAAAATACGCCTACCATTAAAATTATAGACTGATAATTTATTTGTCAGTGGGCGAACGTTCAAAATCAGCAGGAGATCAAATACTTTTCCCCCTCATTGTATATTTCATGTTGCAGTATTATAAAAACAGGCAGAACTGTGAGGTATACCCCTAACCAAAGGGGACACCGGGGGAGAGGTGAGCACATTCACCCATACGGATGCGACAGTGTAGTAAAACTATTCACTTATGTGAATGGCGATAAAGCATTTTCAGCCAGGGCATTCTTTTGACTGCTGCTCTTGTGTACAAGGTAAAACATGTAGAAACCAAGAGAAAAGATTAACGAACAAAAGGAAGCAAAATAAAATGATTAAAGAACAAAAGTAAGAGAAACCTGGTGTATGGGGATTCCTAGGGCAACCTCCCTACTACCTCCTACAGTAACTATAGTAAGATTTCCCCCTGAGTCCACAGCATCCCCCTCAGAATAAAATAAGTCACTGAATTGGGGTCCCACTCTTGAGTGCTAGGCTGAGTGGCCATCTCAGAACTGATGTCTTGCAGGCCCAGTGCCTTTAGGAATGTGGCTAGTTCCATCCTTCGATACCATGAAATACCAGGACATTCCCCACCGATATTCCAGGCCACCTGCAGTTGTTTTGTGGTTGGTGCAAGAGATCCTCGCCACTGCAGCGTGGCTCTTGTGAGGTATTGGTAGAAAGTAAAGGTGGCCTTGCCTTGAAACTGTATGGCATCTTGCCTCGAAGAACTGACATAAGGAGACTTTTAACATGTGTGGAAGGGCACAGAGCAATAACATCCCTCACAACTGTGTGGGTTGCCTGTCTTGCTTGTGACAGGCAATATGCCTTATCGAAGTTAATCTTTTTGGCCTATAAAGATTGGAGTATGGACGCAACTAGGCAGTGAAGGTAATCTGGTAGCTCCTCAGGGGAGATGGCGTCAGGGATGCCCCTTATTCTGATGTGGTTGCGCCTGTTGTGGCCCTTCATTATGGTTATTTCTGTTTTGGGGTTGTCAGATTCCTCTGTTGATTAGGTTGACCACCTGGATCAAGCAGAGGTGGTAAGGTCCAGGTCTCCACCTGCTTCACAGCAAGCATCTTAGTTTGGGCTTGGTGTTGGAGTAATGCCCCTATATCCTGTGTTTCAGTGGATTTACCAGGGGGCTTCTTTTGAGAGCGGCGCTTCATGCCAGGCTCACTGTCTACGGTCTGGCCTTGTCTTGCGGCCGTGTGTGGCATCACGCCTTCGTGTGCACCACCTGGGAGGCTTTCACAGGCCAACAGCAGAGGTCAGTAGTAGGCTGTGGCCTTTTGCCACGATCGTTTCAGTGTCAGGAAGAACAACATCAACCCGCGCTCTAGCCCACCCAAAGGTGAGTTATGGACTACTCCCAATCCAAAGAGCAGGATTGAATGAAAATAAGGCTAATTTTCTTACAAATTCGCGGGAACCACACAATTAGCGTCTGCCTTGGCTGAATGACAAGCTCCGCCCCTCT